TCCCTTCTCGCGAATTGGCGGCGTGTGGCACGCGCGTGAATGTGTGCGGAGACCTAAGAGCGTCAAAGCAATGAGGTAACACATTGTGGGACATATCCGTGCGGTTACTTTCTTTCTCTCTTTCTTTCTCTCTTTCTCTCTCTCTTTCTCTCTCTCTCTCTCTCTCTCTCAGTTTGATTGTTCTTGTCCTCTCCTCATGGTTTATCTCTGAGAGGTGGACTCTATGCAAGAAGATGCTACGCCTTTTCTTCTTGTTGTTCCTGCTATTGTCCGCCACACGACGATGGCCACGACACGTGGAAGAGGAATAAGAAAGAATAGTGAACTAAAACTCTTCCAATCCCACCAAACTACACCCCAAAAAAAAAAAAAAAACTGAAATCACCGCTGCCCCCCATCGCACGCGGAACACGGCATCAGAAAATTAAAATAGGAAATGGCAACCGTTCTCCGTCATGGCCGTAAGGGAGGAAAGGTAAGTTCATCTCCAGCGGTCGGCCCACGAGCTATTACACCTGGAAGTGCCATGTCTCCCGTCTCACTGCAAGCGGGCGGAGAAGGCACCACCATTATCAGCGACCTAAGCGCAGCGCATCCGTTTGACCCGGATGCAATTGCGAATGTTGCCAAAAAAGCCTCAACCAGCGAGGCCAATGTTCTTCAGTTTGACATGGAAGCCATTCAACACATTGGTAAAGGTGTAATGGTGGGACGGACGAAGCAGGTGCGAACCACAACCCGTCAGCCGCAGGTTAGAACTACAGAAGCGGTACTGAAGTTACGAAATACCATTGGGGAGCAAAAGACAACGCCGGAATCCCTAACACATCCTTTGGCTCTTGAAAAACTTACAGACCACGATGTTTTGGTGGTACACACGCCTCGAGACGCTATGGTTTCGGCAGTGTCTCTTTCTATGTCGAAACAACATCCAAAGGTGCTGGTGGTGGTCCCCAAGTATTTTGAGGTGACTCCTGTTAGAAGGTATTTGACTAATTTGACCATCAACAATTTAAGGGTAATGGCGGGAGAATTTTGCGGGCAAACGTTTCAGGGTTTTCAGTCAGACTATTTATGGGTGACAAGCGCAGAAATGGCGCTGCTTTGTCTGACAAAACTGCAGAGCATGGCTCCCTTTTCATACGTGGTGGTCCCTGGGCATCTTGGCACATCTCAATTGGTTTCATGTTTTGTCAAGGCGTTTGCTCAATGGATGCTAAGTGGAGCGGCGTCAACTCAGTTTGTGAGGCTTGTTGTAACATCGGATCGAAGGGATCAAAACGAATTTCAAGGCATGTTTGGGCGACTTAGAGTCGCTTTTGATCAAGATCCAGTGAAACGTGTTACGGAGTTCTCGTACGGTGAAACATGTGCTCTGGTTGAAAAGGAAATGATGGAAATGGAGCAGGATGGATCTGGAACCTTTCCACCGCCCACAAAGCGGCTTATTGACTACACAGCAAAGCTTTCAGCAGACGTCGTGCAGTGCATTATTAAAGGAAATGAGAAGCCACAGGTCATTGCCGTCTTTACGGCTGAGGCACGCAATGTTTTAATTGCACTTCAAGAAGCTCATCTTGAGGATTGTGCTATTTACTCGGGATTTCAAAACACTGAAGACACAACAAACGCTAAACACCGTGTATGTGTAATGAATCATGTTCGTCACGCTTTGGGCGTGGATGATGACTGCACCATGGTGATTGATATGGGCACTATTCGTCGTCCAGCAGCGCAGCACAAGTCTGAGAGTTTCATGGCTGCCAGTACAACCGAATGGGAAACAAAAGTGGAACGTGCAGGACGTTTATCCCTTCTCGAGAGGAGGCAAGGATGTTGTTATTTTGCCTTGTACCCCGATGAAGTTTCCGCAGCTTTCAGTGAGGATGCCACATCCCTCCCTGATGTCTTTGACGTGGAGGATGCATTTGTTCATTGTGCTCGTCTGAATATCCCTAAGAGGGAAGTAGCAGCTCTCCTTCCGGCTGTTCCGGCCGAAACTGCCGAACACGTATTGCATAATCTTGCCGAAAAAAGCATTATATCCAGTACACAGGACTTTGCCATTACGTTTGTAGGGGAAGTGGCTTCCCGTCTTCCTGTGGATTTAGACATTGCGTCCTTTATTATAGGTGGTTGTAACCTTGGCCTTGGTGAGGCCGCCTTAGCCATTGGTAGTGTAGCGGCGTTGCCCTTCCGTTCCATTACTCCGTTAACATGCAGCAGCGCCTCTTGGGATGAATTCACAAACCGAAGCCGTGACCAATACGCTGATGAGATTGCACCTCAGAGTGACCTCCTTGCTGACACCCTCGTCTTTCTTGAGTGGCTTACACTGCGTATTAAGGGAGAGTCCACCACGTGGTTTCTTGAGGAGACCCTTATCCAGGAGTTTAGGTTGATCAATATTGAGAACTTGATGAAATATATGCGAGAACAGTTGAAAAATTATGTATTCCTAGATCGTGTTAATACACCAGAGTCTTTGATTAACGTGGCAAGCGCTATACGGGGAAAGACGACCATCCTTTTACTTTTGGCGTCTGTGGCCTTGGCACGACGTACCGCCTTTATTCGCGACGCAGGACACCTCAACGAAAAGGATCGTTATGCTTCCATGGCCTTTGTTCGCACTTCCAAACGAGTGGTGCCACACACTTATATTCCCTCATCTATAAAATGGGAAACTGGTAAGATTATGGTCCCGGTAATTCTTAAAAACAGCACAAATATTCTTGCCGGTGTGTTCTCGCTCATTCACGCACCATATTTTTTTGCCTCACTTCTGCTTCTCTATCCATCCGTGGAGTACTCGAAGCCCGTGATAAAGGATAATGCCACTGTCGTGTACTTTGGCGTCTCATGTAACCGTCAGATGAAACGCTTCGTGGTTTCTATTGAAGATGCTGTACGAATTCTCGATTTCCGGGATAATATAAATCTGGCGCTGGGTTGTATGCAGGCACTTCGCACTTCCACCCCTCCCATCTCGAGAATAACGTTTTCTCTCTCTCTGAAGAGTTTTGATCGTCACTTTGACATTGGGCAGCTGCATAAGGACATTTGCTCGCAGCTGCTTGAGCTGGTGAACGTGTTAAAGGTAACGGAGTATCAAGGGAGCTTTGAGACCTACGTCACGCACTGCACAGCCCCAAGGGAGTTGTTGCCCAAGGCTGACATACCTGCGCATGATGAGGAGGTACTTCGTTGGTTTGTGGACGGCACAGTGTGGGAAAAGTTGCGCACTCCCAGCTCTGCCGTAATGCAAACCAGCAGTTCTTTTGAGGATGGGCCACAGTGGTTGGATGGAGTTTCGATCTTTGCCGCGAACTACGATGACTACTATGATGATGTGGAGATAATGTCGGATTCCTACTTTATGTGCCACGGCCCACTCATTGAGGACGATGATGATTGGTAAACCTGCGCGTAACCCATTGTTGTGACTGGTGCCGTTGACTGTTTTTGCATTAATTGGGGACAAGGTGGTGACAAAGTGCAGAGGCGCACTCATACACACGCACGAGGAGGAGAGGAAAAGCAAACAAAAAAATATATGAAAAGAACAGTTGGGGCAAGCGATGCGCACACACGCAAAATAAAAAAAAAACATAAATAAATAAAAAGGACAGGAAAGAAGAAGTGGAACACCATGACCCCCTAATGGGGACATATTCATGAAACTTCCAGAAAGTATGAACTGGCGGCAAGGTGAATTATGCGGGCATGTTTTGGCGGAGCGGGGTGTTACGAGAATTTGCTACTTTTTGCTTTCATCTTTTTGTTTCTCGTTAACAGTGAAGAAGAGCAACCTGAAAAGAAAAGCAGAAAGGCACCCGGTGGTGGGAGTGTGAGGTAAGATGTGGGCTCTTTGCGCCGCGTATTTTGCACCGAGGCCACAGCGTCAGCCCGCCTGTTGTACACCATTTGAGCTTAAATTTATTTATGCTTTATGATGTCTACTCTTCTGCTTTCTGTGGAAGTGATGAAGACCAGACGGGTGGAGGGTGAGGGAAGGAAGGCCTTAACTTTGGGCAAATGAGAGAAAGAAAGAAAAAAGCAGCTAAAACACAACGAAGTGAAGAAAAAAAAAGACGCTTCTCGCATGACTAATGGAGGAACTGGGTGTTGTTGTTTCCGTTTATGACTTCTCTGTGCAATTCACGGTTGAGGTCTTTTGTGGGTCTTCTTTTTTTTTTTTTTTCGTGTTTGTCCATCAGTCTGGCTTCTACAGTTGATGTTGTTGGTTATGTGGTGATGGTGGTGAAGTATTGTTTGTCGCAGCATAGACTCGCTTGGGATTTTCTCTTGACCGTCGCGACGAGGCATGCCCCCCCCCCCCCCCTACCCACCCACTCCACACACACACACACTCCCTTTTCTTCTTTCTTCTGTTACTTTGGACTCGTCTCTTTTTCGCTTGCTTGGGTTAAACTTCTGTGCTCTTCAACTACATTAGGCAAAACGGGTGAAGTGGTGTGTCTTTTGCTCTTTGCGTAGAAAGAGGAGTGTAGTAGTTAACTATGGAAACATTAGATGAGGCGGCAGTTGACGCTCTTATTCGTGAGGAAGAAGAGCGGGTGCGGCAGTTCAAACTTTTTCACTGCACAGATGACGAGCGGCGGCGTGAATATGGTGCGGTTCCTAAGCCTGTATCACAGCCACCACCGCCACCGCCGCCGAGAGCGAAACTCTCTGGTTCTCCTTTGGAGATGCTGTCAGAGAACGCGGAAGAGGCGCTGGTGCATGAATATGAACAGTATCGTCGCGGCGGCGACGAGGATGACATCAACATGACCCTCCGATGCAAGGGGCCTCCTCCACCGAATTATGATGGACCACTGCTTACACTTACAACCCGTGGTCCGTATACACGCGTTGAGGTACTCGCATGCCGCCCGCCGGTGCGGCCCCGCTTTGACGGGAAAAAGACGTTGGAGAAAGATCGTAGTCCGTATTACCCACGGCCACTACGAGAGAAGCCCAAAGAGGACAACGTTGCAAGGCCAGGGGATTCACTGCGGCGGTGGAAGTACAGTATGGGCTTTCCTGACACATGATTATCTTGAGTGCGTCACTATCGAGGGTGATAAAAAGCTCATGCATCAATGTATACACGTATAGTGCGTACGGAAGGGAAAGAAGAATGTGTCACACGTTTAACTCGTGATTATTTTTTCTAAATGTAAAGATTCTTGTTGCTCTTCTGAAAGGTTGTTGCTTTTTTCTCGTTAACGAATTGCCTTCTATTTTTCCCCCTTTTTTTTCGTTTTTTTTTCGTTTTTTTTTTTTTGTTTT